CACTAATAGGCTTGAGTTGACTCACTCAAATAAAAAGGGGGAGAATGAAAGGACAGAAGTTTTTCGTGTGTTATACAAGATCTGAATGTGTGAAAGTGTTGTTACAGAGATGTGTACGGTTGTGATACAACAGGAAGAGAAGAGGAATATGCACGTTATGAAGTGTGATGAGGTATTGAAGTATTATTGAGAAGATCCAAGTAAAAAGGAAAAGGGCCACGTGGGCTTCAGGTCCATAAGAGAAGTCATGTAGGCTCGATATAACTCGAACTTACAGCCATGGGCTGATGATGACGTGGGCTTGGAAAGCTTATGGTTTCTGCACTTGAAGAGGTTAAATAGGACGAGGCTGTGACAAAACAACTTACACGCCTAGGGTTCTATTGTGTGACACACATAAGTGTGTGTGTGGCGTAGTCCTACCAGACACATAGAGAGATCTGTTGGTGGTATTTGTGTGGAAACTGCAGAGTGGAGAAAACATAGCTGCCCCGTTTACCATAGTGGAAACTGGCGAGGCCGGTAGTAGTCAAGTATGCGTGCTTGACACCGTTTCCCATATCCACGTAGAAAAGAGTGGTAGGCAAGGTTGTGTGCCAGATACCATATAGCAATTGTAATTTGCGATCTTTTCTAGTTGATGGTTTTTGGACGAGGTCCCGGGGAAGTAGATTCGCTGAACCCCGTTAACAAATCTCTGTGTCTCTTTACTTTACGTTCACGCACATCTCATTATGTTTATCCATTGTCAAACATATAGATCTAGCCTAAATCCAAACTTACATTTAGGTGATGCAAGACAGTCTAGTTGCACTCTTATCCTAGGATTTGGAACGCCATGCAACCGTCACATACGAGCGCTTACATAATTAAGAAAAGAGGTTTGATTCTGCAAATCTTCTTAATTCCTATATCGGTTTAATCATTTTATTATTTTTATTGAGTTGTATATGTAATTTCTTTACAGATTATCAGATTTTCTCTGTAGAAATTGCATTCATATACATCATATGTGTGCTTCAACAGTACCACACAAGTTTTCTGCGTACCAAAACATCAACCTAGTGGTAAGTTTCTCATACATCAACCCTTCACCTCTATGTTAATCCTATTGAGTGAGCTCCAAGGAAACACAGTGCTAACAACATGTTGAATCTGTCTATAAACCCGAACAGAAATCGTGTGTTTTGGTCAAGACTACTTGTTTCTTCCTCACCTTCATTGCCTCTGTTTTTGCGGTAGCGGTCCTGTCATGCTTCGCAGCCGACCAACAGTACGAGATGTGGTTTGTTGGGATTTTTTCAAACATCAATAATTCTTTCTAGGGTTTTAATAAACTCAATTTTTGTGGCTCTTCTGCAAGAACGAAACCTAACCCTAAAGCTCAACAACCTTTTTCTCTGGGTCTTGTATTTTGATTTGATGATTCATATTATAATCTTTATAGAAGAGAGTTTTTTCTTAGGTAGATGCCCAGATCTAACTCTGAACTTCTCAGGGAGCAATCAGTTCACGTTAGACTCTACAGCTGGGAAGATTGGTTTATTAATTTGTTCGACTTTTCCTCAATAGCCAAACCCTTTTTTTTACTTGTGAAGGAAGCAACATGAGTACAGTTTTAATTATACTATTAGAGAAAATGAATCTTGTGGATTTTGTTAATATCTCTTGGTATATGCGGTTTAGTGCCCGTTTCTGAGAGTTTCTGGTGTCTTTGCCAGCCCGACAGACCTCACGACTCTACATGCCATGAGGAATTGATTACCAACAGTATGTATTCATTCACCTTTACATATATGCCTCATTTGCTCCTTATCTTGAAACACATATTTATGAAATAAGATCTTACTTTAGCTAGTGACCTGTATTTAATTAAACCGTCTTCTAAGTTTTTTTTTTTAAATTACCTATCATGTAATCTCATTTATTGAGATGAACGTTTTCAGGATCACAAAGCCAAAAAAGAGATTCTACAATTAGAAATTAAACCCAATCTAACAGAAAAAGCTAAGAATCACATAACTCAGCAGCACTAGATTCGTTTTCAGACATAAAACAATTCGAGTTAGGTGAGATTAATATAGATGGTCTTTTTAACAGGTAGATATCCCCTTTGTATAATCATCTTTTCTATACTTTAAATAAACTTTTAAATATATTATTGATTTTAGAAAACCTCTTTTATGGTTGTATCCACAATGTGTCTGTTATTTTAGTATCAGAGCCATGGCAATCTAAGCTTTAGCTCTTATCACCCCCAAGGGGTAATATGTCTACGAGTTGTTTTCATCTAAGAACTAATATGGAAAATATGCTCTGTGGTTGCCACTTAGTGGATCCTCCACATTAGAAATCCTACATAGCTAAGATAGAAAAAGTTTAAGAGAAAACTCATAACATCATAAGGCAAAGAATATTGAGGCTTCAGACAACAAAGTATTGCTTCGGTTATCAAGCTAAAACATCTTATGCGAGATTCTTCAAATATTCTAAGCGCTTAATATAAAGGAAAACAACCTCTTGCTTTGATATTACACTACAGATAGATAAGAAATAAAGCATTGTGTCTTGGCCTCTGGTCTCATTATTCATCATGGAAAGTTCTTTAAACCCAAATCCTTTCAGAAAACCAACCTCTAGCAAACTAGATTATCTATATGAAATAGAATACGTGAGTGAAGATAGCAAAATCCCAATAACACATTTAGTGCATAGAATTTTTTTGACATCCTCTCGTATTGCTTGATGTTTTAGGAATGAGTAATTGGGATTTTGCTATCTTCATTCATGTATTTTATTTCATATAGATAATCTATTTTGCTAGAGGTTGATTTTCTGAAAGGGATAGAGTTTAAAGAACTTTCCATGATGAATAATGAGACCAGAGAATGTTTAATTTCTTATCTATCCTTAGAGTAATATCAAGGGGGCCCTAATATCAAATCAAGAGTTTTTCTTCTTTTTATTAAGCGTTAAAAATATTTGAAGAATCCTGCATAAGATGTTTTAGCTTGATAACCGAGATAATATGATTTTATGAGTTTTCCCTTAAAATTCTTTTTTCTTAGCTATGTAAAATTTCTAATTTGGAGGATCCACTAAAAAGCAACCATAGAGCATACTTTCCAGACTAATTTGTAGATGAAAACAACTCGTAGACATATTATCCGTTGGAGAGATAAGAGCTAAGGCTTAGACTGTCATGGTTCTGATACCAAAAATACAGACATAGTGGGTGAAACCATAAAGAAGGTTTTCTAAGTTCAAAGATATATTTAAAAAGTTATTTAGAGAATGGAAGAGATGATTATACAAAAGGAATATTTAATTTATATTAAACACATAAGCATTACATAGACTCTCAAACTTTCTCTCAAACTCGATTAAGGACTTGGTTTGTTTTTATGCAACACCCAGACCTCTTATTTATAGTGCAGAAATTACAGTAACTTATTGAACACATGGATACTTAAGTTAAGGTTTTTTAGCACGTTGACACCTAACTTCTTTCTTTCTACATGCATAACTGTTATTCTTTACTTATTCAGCGTAGAGATGTTATTCTTTACTTTTTCAACGTAGAGATGCAAGCAAAAAGATATAATAATCCCACAAAGAGATATACGACAAAAGCCGATGCATTTTTATTCAAAATTAATTGAGTTAACCCACAATAGATATATAACTAAAATGGAATTAAAAGTCATTATCCCTGGCAAGCAAAACATCAAGCAAAACATATAAGCAAATACGACCATCTGAAGAAGGATTTAGACCAATAAGATCCTTAATAATAATACATAATGGTTGGCTTTCACATCAAACACTTGACTTCAAGCGACATATGCTCTGGCGTTTCAACCGTTCTTTTCCTTACGATAGCATTGTAGTCTTGACCGCCACTGCTTTTGAAACTAATGTAGAAGATTGCATTCCTCTCCTTGGCCTTTCCACATCTTCTCTGGTTTGCACAATTAGCTTTCTCAGCTCAGATGATTTGGTTCGTACTGCAACACAACACCAAGAGATCATTAACCTACACGAATTCCCCTCTGTTTTTTTAGTCCAAGTAAAGCAAAACAAACTTCGCTTAAATCACTAGAACTTTATATGAACGATATACAAACCAATAATAGTAGACAGAATCATAATTAATAGGATTTAAATCCAACCTCAAACCAGTGTACATTATTCAACTAATGATTCTAAATTATGTTTAAAAATGTAGTGTTATAGGATTAATTTTATTATAAATCATTCTTAAGAAATTTTGTAGTTTGGTGTTATTCAATTAAGATTTTAAATCTTTCATAAAATCCATTGTTAATCAAAATTAGATGACTTTAAAAAACTTTGTACATTGAATCATTTCAACCGAATTCGAATAGAGTTTTATGAGATAAACTACCCAGTGAACTAAGTATTAGATAAATAGTACTATCTAATGAACAGTTTTAATTATCAGATGAAGTATCCTAAGGCGGAAAACAACTATTGTACAATATTTTTCTTTTCTCTTTGTTATTTTCCTAACTTTTAAACAATTTTTGTTATTTACCTAATTATGGATTGTGTATCTCCTTTATATAAAAGGAGCTGAATTCCTTGGCCTCTGAGGCCATCCACGTCAGCCAAAAAATACAGGAAAATAATCAACCAATAACATCATTGCAAAGCCACACGTCATATACAGTTTGCTAATCCACGTATACAACATCACTTCTCAAATATTTATAAAACCCACCTCAATTTAAAGAATACAACCCATTAATTAAATGACAAAACAATCCAAGTAAAGATAACAACCCATTAATTAAATGAAAAAACAATCCAAATAGAGATAACACACACCTCTAATAAACGTTGAATTGATACAGGCCCAAAACAAAAGCCCAAACTAAGAAAGCCCAACCCAAGAAAACCCAAACCAAGTTTAAATACCATCCCAACCATTAAACCCAAATCATAGCTATCCATCTAATTTTCTAGCCTCCTTCGTTACCTACGCCATCCTGAAACGACTCCTCTTCCTCCCTTCTCCAACTCATATGCCGTTACAAACCAGCTTCTGTCTTAAAGCACCCCCACATACCTCATATTACTCATCCACCTTCTTCTGTAAATGCCCAATATGTTGAAATTGAAACTGCTGAGCAAGTTTCAAAACCTCTTCATCCTCCCAGTTACGTCTACTATATAATGGAGATTCCAGTCTACGGCGGAATCCAACTCTTACCTTACTCCCCACATTTCATAACGAAGCTAAAACTCATTATGCTTCTCCAATTCTTTATTCCGAAGATAAAACCACTTCATGAAGTTGAGCTCTAAGAGCTGCGGATTCAAACTTTTCAGAAATGGATTTGTGCTAATTTTATGGTGAAAAAATAAACGGTTTAAGGTTCGCGACGTCGCATCACCTCCACTCTCCTTACGCTTTAGATGAAGAACCATCGAAACCCAACGATTGACAAGGTTTGCGCTGACTTTTTCTTCTTTCTTATGTTATATTAATGGTCGGTTGTTTTAACTTAAGGAGATTTGTCGATTCTTTGATGCAAAATCACAAAATATGTTTTGGTTTATGAAAAGCTTCACCAGCTTGAGGAAACATTTCAATGAAGGCTGGCGAAAGAGATATACAAGCTTCCCTGACATTGCCCGTCAAGCAAAATTTCATTGTCTTCCTGTCCCAGGATATTAGCTGCAGAAGAATGATATTTGTGTAATCTTTCTTTCTCTTAATTAAGTATTTTCGTCTATATGAACATAATCTCGGCTTATCTTTAACAAAAACTATCCATTTCTGCACAAAACACAACTCCTCAAGCATCAAGTAAAAGATTCAAAGTGAACAAAAAATCAGAATCGTAGTCTTCAACGTTTCTATCTCTAAAACCTTTCATATCTGTTTTCAACTTTCAGCAAAGAAGCAAAGATGCCCCAGTTGCATGGTCATAGTAAATGGTTGATTCCTTAGATACATGAGAATCAAGTGACAGAGATGACAAGGAATAAGGAAAAAAAAGTCGACAAGGAATAAGAGAGTCAAGAGTTTAGGCAAAGAGGATCATTGGTATACATACATATATATATATATAGTATCATTCATATACGACAAAATCTGGCATATATGGCTGATTAGTTTGTCATATACTAATAATCTGTTTCCATTTCCCAATAGGATTTAGATGATTTGTGGCGATATAAGGCCTCTCGGAATAGGTGTTTAAATCTTGCTAATTTGGCTGCATCTTTGCAAATATTTAATTTCACAGTTTTGTGACCATGAAGTAAAAGGGTAATAGTTCATCTCATTATCGTTTCCGTATCTACACTCTAACTATTTTTCCTCAGACAGGAGATTGTATTTAAAGTCTCACCGCAGTGGACAAACAAAAAACCAAGAGTGGGAAGTGTATATCATAGAAGGATCTATTTTGTGAGATTTCATTTTGTGATGAGAGTTTATTTTATGTTTGGTTATAATGATATTTTCAAATCTTTTTCCCTCATATTTTGAGTTGGTTTTTAGGGCTTTAAACAAACTATGAATTACAAATTTGGGGAAAAAAACAACAAACTTGAAAGATGGTTACAAATTTATGTATGAATTGATTTTCGCTGGTAGGCAAAACCATGGGGAAAGAGGGTAAAATGGTTTCAATGAACAATATATATGCTGTGTGAAATGAGTTTTAAAGGTATGGTCATCTACTGCTGTAACATAGACAATGGTCTTCTCAATCAAAACATGCGGGATACAAGTTGAATAAACCTTGCTATACAATTGAGAGTGGAAGTTTATATCAAGATGAAGTCCATTAGAGCAATGTATGGTTCTCTTATCCTAAAACTGATTGGATGAGTATTCACATGATTTTGTCATTTCTTCGCTCTCTTGAGTGTTTTCTTACAATTCTTATATGATCGATTATATAAGGGCCATCAAATTAAGCATCTATGACCTACCACAGACTTGGGTAAGACGCTCTTAAATCAGAGAGACGGATTCATCGAGTAATGTGCAAAGTCTACACTGGAAACTCAAACATCTTAATTAGTCTCTTTAGCAACATTTTAACTTTGATTATTTTATTTCCCATGACAATGCATACGAATTATAAAATGTATGTATTGTTCAACAAAGTATTGTTACTTCTTCTTTCATAATATTTTAAGGAGAGGCACAACCGTTTGATAAACCTAGCTACAATTTGAAGAAAGAGTGCAAACTAAAAAACAGAGGAACAGAGAATCACATATGATCGTCTTTTCTGTATGGAAAACATATGGTAGTTATGCGCTAATGTAAGCAAGTACAAATTAAGCATCTAACTAACAAAGACCATACAATTGCATAATTACATATTCCTTCGTATACAATATGTGAATTAGCTACTTTCCACACACAAAAAAAGAGTAGAGTTAACATTCATTTTCACATCACTTTAACAAAAAGAATTACAGCTATTTCTATTTTCTATTCTAAATTACTTTTACTAAATTTTTCGAACTAAATTAATAAATAAAAAATAATAGATACAATCCGCGCGTACGCGCAGATAATATTAATTAAAATAACTCTAATTATCTTCTAAATATCGTGGGAGTTTAATTTTTGTCCCTAATGCTACTATCAAAGATGTAGAGTAAGAAAAACCAATGAAATAAAGTAGTACTAGATTCTAATCAACAGCTTTTTTATTACAGTAATATACATAATTGTTTTTTGTATAGTGGAAAAGAATAATTTATTGAATTGGTAGATAATTTCTTTTTTACAAATTAAAGTTGTATAGATGTGGATTTTGTTTTGATTCGAACAACATAATATTACTTACGTCTTGTAGTGGACTTTCCAAAGCTGCGTTATTCAAACATAATAAGACAATTGTTCTTCATGTTTGATTAATCCATCCATTTAACCCGTCTTGCATTGATTAAAATATATTACATAATTTGATGGAACAACCCGTAGAAGTTTGCAGCAGCTGATCAACTATAATAACTGTGAGCATAGAAGACACAACTCAAACTAAGACGTCCTCCAAGTTTCAAACTCCCATGTTTTGTTGCCCAAAGTAAATTGAAGTAACATATCCAGGATGTGGTGAAAAGCTCTAGAATCAAATGATAAGATCATATTGGCGATCTTTGGCAAAAAGAAGCCACTTTTCTTTCTTACCCGAAAGCTTGTCAGATGAGTTTGAGTTTTAAAACGTTACATGTCTAAGGACCTTCGATCTCCGTTGCTAAAGTATAATAGCTAACGAAATCAAAGATCAGTTGTCTGCTTTCTTATTCTGTTTCCTTCTTATTCAATTGACATAAGTTTTTGAAGATTTTCACCATTGATAACCTTCATCTACAGAGTTTTGGATTTAAAAGCGGAAGGTAAGAAAACCATTGGGATTCAACTAAATCTAGAGAATCTATTTCTTGTGATAAAAATCAGAATACAAAAGACTTAACAACGAGAGAGAGTATCAAATGCTTTGGCAAGACCGACAAACAAGTCCTGGTTTCTCAAGAGGAGGTTTCTGTTTTCTGTTTCTTGGCCTTCTCGATAAGAGGTTTCAACTGTTTCTTCTCAGCAAGAAGTTTGAGGAAGTTGAACAAAAACGGAATGTAGTTGTGCTTCCTCCTAATGTTCTCGGTTCTCCATTTCATGAACTTCTCTTCCTCCATTACAATCTTATCACTCACAGCCTCGATCCCACTCTTCACCTCACTAATCAACAGTTCAAGTGATTCTGCACTGCTTTTGTCCATACCAGCCAACTCCTGCTGAAGTTGTTCCCTCTGCTTTTGTAGCTCCTTGAGCTCTGCCGTGTAGATATCTTTCCTGTTTTTGATCACAGCCAAAAGATTGAACCTAATCTCGCTCTGTGAGTACCTCTCAATCCGTTCTTGGATGACCGGTTGAACCATTTGCAGCCATTCGATACCACTTTGGTCACCGGGGCATGGACCAAGACTGATAGGTCCTTCCTTGAGACCATCAAGCTCGTACAAGACTCCATCCACAGGTATGTAGCTTATGAAATGGTAGACGTCATCGTCTTTTGTCGCAGCTTTCTGTTCCTCTGGGACAAATGGTTCAGGCCTCGCGAAACTGTTGTGAGCAGTCCGTATCGCCTCGCTGTTGTTGATAGCCAAACCCTTAAGGTCAGATGGAAAGTTCTTGGTGAATTCTTTCAGCGCCGATAATTCAGGACCAATGTCAACCTCTGGAGAGTTCAAGAGGATAGATAGGATCGCTTGAGTTGCACAGGCATTGTTAATGACCTATAGAAGTATACAACGTTTGAGATTAAGATTGAAAAAGAAGAACCATTTAATCAAAATCTTATGCTTTTGTATATAATATTCACCTGGTTTGCGAAGAAAAGGTTAGAAACTGGATCTTGGATTGTTGGACGATCATCTTTTACCCCAGCTTGCCATTTGAAAAGAAAAATCAAACCGTAGACAGGTCTACGAGGTAGCCACATGGTTGAAAAGCATATATTAATAAGGGCATAGATATAACATTAAAGTAAAAATGTGGGGGGGGGGGGGGGGGGGTTCCATGCCATCCATTGAAAACGAGTACAGAAACTTCACAAGGGGCTAGTTTTCGATGCAACTACTCACCTGAGGTTATTGAGAGAATCAAGATCCAGGGAATACAACTCTTCAACCTATAAGTTAAGAGAATCAATATCAAAAGTTTGTGCAAAATTATATACTAAGTGGTGAAAGCTTACGCAAGAAATCATAGCAATAGCCAACTTCATCTGTTCAGGATGCATTTGGACACCCAAAAGGAACGAGTACGGATATAGATATAGGACAGAACAGACATGAAATAACATAGATACTTAATTCAGAAGGTAACTAACGAATGAGAAAGTTCCTACTTTCTTCAGGATAGAGTTTACTGACTTTACATTATATATAGCAACTTCAACATTCATTGCATTGCCCGTTTCCTATACTTATATTCCTGAGATTCTTAAGCGATGGATAAGACTCGATAAAGCAAACCATTCTCCTAATATCTTAGTCTACCTTTATGTTCCAATACAACAAGAAGAAAATTTCTTTGACCATGCAAGAATATGCATTGCTCTACACCACCAACAAATGAAGATTAAGACAGATACACTACACAAGAGTATATTACCTGCACTCCTTTGACTTGCATCTGCTGAATAAGCTCTGTAAACACACCTGTTGTATAGATATATACAAATATATAAGCGAAACACTAAGACTCACACCACACAATATCAATAAACAAAACTAAAGACAGGTACAATGTGCCCAAATATCTTTCAAGCCGGATATGAATCATCTAAAAGTACTATCTGTCTCTTCAAATATCAATAAACAAACAAAAACAGCCTTAGACCGTTCAATTAAACTCAAGAACTTTCAAAGTTTGCGATAAAGCTTCCATCTTTTATAATGTACCAAACCCACACAAATAGACTCAAGGCGTGAGTAAGAACAGCACTAGGAACATAAATTGCAAATACCAACAGAACCAGCTAAAATAACCTTAAAACCATGAATAATACTCCAATCTAGTACCAAACACAAACACACACAGGCCCATTCAGATATTCACAAATCTCCTCACAACGCGAAAAAAAACAACACGAGGAAACATAATATTGCAAACTTTTTCATCAAACCAACAAAATATATGGAAAATAGAAACTAGGATTTAGCATATAAAAGCATCGAATTCAAGTTCTAGTTATACCACTCAATGAATTGAGACTCAGTTTAGGCACAAACCCAACCCGATTACTCTCCATATAATCTATCAGAAGAGAGATAAACCAATTTGGGGAGAACAAAAGTACCGGGATCTGACTCAATTGTGCACCAAGACATGACGAAACGACTTTAGAATGCTTGCTCGAATCGAAGGGGAAACAGAAGTTGAGAGACGGATTTGGGATGCTCGAGATCGCTTTCGTGAATCCGATTTGGGTATTAGGGTTTAAAGTTCGCTTTTTTCACTACCTTGCCAAATTTTATTTTATTTTCTTTTTTAAATAGTCTTTTATCGTGTTTCTTTTTAATTGTTTTATTTGTTGTTTTCCGGGTTAAGCCTAGTGGGTTTCTAATCCGATCGTATGATCTTTCTTTTTTTTTTTTTTTTTAAATTAAATATGATTTTATAAATCTACTCAAAATGGGCTTGCGAAGTAGACCTTAACGGACCTAAACGGTTACAAAAAAAGAAAAACCCGAATCGACAAAGTACACCGGAACAGGAGATCAACGAATAGGCGGTACAACGGTGACACTAAACGGCCATCCATGTCCGGCGCTAACAAGAACTACTCCTTTGAAGCAAGAAGGGTGCCGCCAAGCTCTTGACCGGAGTTAGCGGATCCAGCCGCCGGCTGAAGACAACCTCCTGCTATACCCGAAGCTTTTCTCCCGAAAAGGACCAGAGTAGCGACCACCGCGACCCTATCTCTCAACTCCCCTACCTAGCAAGAAGAAAGAACGCAAAAGTCAGTCTCCATCTTCAGCAACCCACCATCAAGCTTTTCCCGGGTCAACCAGCTTCAATCCGGTGGGTGGGAAAACACAAACTCGGCAGAGGATGACAGCTGTTGGCTCAGGCAACCATCCGCCTCCGAGATCCGAGAATAGCCATCTAGGACTGAGATCCACAGCTAATCCCACAACCACAAGCAGCGCACAAACCCACCAGGGTCAGATCTGGACTTCCGCCGCCCATGGAGCTTCGAGCACCAACGATCGAGCCAGGAAAGAAGCAGTCTCGCTCCCGCCGCAGTCCTCAAACAGCAAGAGACAGAGGAGATCTCTCTGACCGATGATGAGAAGCCACCAACGAGCAACCAGATCTGACTTAACCACACCGCGATGCTGCCGGAGAAGAAGGCCAACCCGCAATCGTCGTTACGCTCAGAATCACTCGCCGACGATGAAGATCTAAAGGAGAAAGTTCGACGCCGGCGCTGAGGGAGCCACCGGCGCCGGAAACAAACCAGACGAGATCTACTTTACTTTTAGAGAGAGGGGAGAGGAAAGGAAGAGAGAGAAAAAGGGTATTTTTAACACATCAAATTTCTGTTTGTGAGTACATGTATGATCTTTCTTTTCTTTATTTTTTTTTTTTTCATTTTGTGTTCATTTTGTGAAAAAAAAGAACACAAAGACAATATCAAAAAGTAATGGACAAACACAATAAACAAAAAAAAAATCATTAGTCAAGACTTTTCAATGAAAAAATCATGTTTTTGTGATTCTTTTCAATAAAAAGTATTAGAATAAGAGGTGAAAATAACATATTTGTGATTTGTAATTGGATTAAAGAACATATCTAAAAGACTAAAACCAAAATTTTAAGAATTTGGGTCAACATAGTTAAAACACGATGTGACATTTCATTGTTCTTTGAAGTATAAGATATATATCTACAATCCAAAACAATGGACAAACTCTTCACTCTTATATTCTACACCGTGCCATGATTCGACCCATGATCAAGACATATATTATGCCTTTGAAAGATTTTAAAATGGAATTGAAAAAACAGACAGCGTTTTGTTTCTTTCTCTCAACTCCTTCTCTGAATTCGCCCTAGCCGCATCCCTTCTCCATTGTCGATCTGGGGCGGTGGCCGGTGGCTTCCACAGAGCCGGCGCCGCCCCACCGCTCTCCTTCCTTTGCTTTTTATTTTCTCTTCTGGGTGACTCATTTTGGCTCGCTTTCGTTCGTCTTCTCTAGTGGATCTCCCTTGTTAGCGGCGTAACCCCAACAGTGTCTTTGGGGTTGCGGTGATGGTGGTGCAGCGCTTCTGATGGCCAGCGTTATCCACCTTGTCCGCCTGTGGGCTGTTTCGTTGCTCTATCTCTTTTTCTGTTTTAGCCGGCGAGAGTGATTGGTTGCTTGACACAGCGGCGAGTTCTCTTCGGCGGAGGGTGATAGACGACGTGGCTCAGAGAAGAGTCTCCTTGGTGGAGGGGTTCTCTGACCGTATTCTCTTCCGGGTGGCATGAAGTCTCTTGTTGGTGTTCAGCAGCGTGCGGCAGTGTCAAGATCGTCTTCAAGCTTTTGTGCCTGTATTCAAAAAGGTTTTAGTTTGTTATATAGGTGGCAATGCTTGGGATGAGGTCCTTTTGCAACTGTCTCTTGTGGACTTTGTCTTGGGGGCAGGTATTTGGTGGTTTTGGCTTCGGCGAGGTGCTTTTCGTGTTTGCTATTTTAGTTCTCGAGTGCAGGATACACTAATTTCTACCTGCCAGTGGTCTCAGAACGCAGGTTGCTCGTTTGTCTTAATGAGAGTCTTCTTAGCTCGTGGTGAACCTATAGGCTTTGAGTTTTTTAGGTTTTGAGGACGGCCTTACAACATGTATCTCGTGGCAATATCAGCGAAGTTTTAGACTTCAAAGCTTTCCTTTCCTGCAGGTTGCTCCTTGCGTATCTCCTCTATTGATTCTTTTTCAGATTGTTTTATTATATTGTTTTTCTTGTCTTGCACGTTGTTTTTGGTCTTTTCCACTTTTTGTTATCTTTGTAATTCTATTAAAAATTGGAAATTAGTAATATAATCTTTACAATTAATAATAAATAATAAATAAATAAATAAAGATAAACTCACATGTTTTAGTTGCAAGATTAGAAGAAATTCGATTTCAGACTTCGATTTCAGACTACGCTTTCACACAGGACCTAATTAAATGACAATTTGAATTGAAAAAGTATTCATGTTTATTGGTAACTTATGGATAATACAAAATATAATTAAGAATTGAACAGAAATACAACAAGAAAGTTGATCCCTCTATTTGTTCGTCCATTTCTCTATTTTATTTATTTGTTATTATTGAATTAACTCTCTAACCATTGAATTTGTATTATTATCTTTGGATTCGTGTTTCAGTGAGAGCTGGCTTCAAATTCTATGAACTTCTCGGAATGACGGGCTTTTTACGGCATGGTTTTATTCAAGGTTACTGGTAAAGTATTGGTAGGCAGATCTAAAAAAAATTGGTTGAGGGCATAATTTTATAAATAAAGAAAAAAAAATTAGTTGGAGGTAACTTTTTTTTACCACTAAATTTAAAATATTTTGATTAAATTTATCTAAATTATTTTTAAAAAATTAAAAAACAGTAAGAAACATGTGACTCCGTTAGACGTTCACTAGGGCTCAAACTGATTATATGATGAGAGACATAGAATTAGAAGAACTGTATTAACTCTCATATCTCTTTCAGTATACATAGAACACACACACATATATATATATATATATAAAAAGATATAATCCTAATTAATTAATTTGAATGATATACTTTCTATCTATACAAACAAACTTGTTAAGACAACAGTTAATACCTTGAATGGATTTTAACCGAACAACATTTAATATTTTTCATATATATTTTTAATTTGTTTAATTTAAATTTTGTATTTCTATTTAAATATAGTATTAGATGTCATATTCATATTGGTTAAAATAAGAGGAGGTGAATAAAGTGGTTCACCCTTAAAAGTGAACCCAATAATTTTTTTTTATTTTAACCTAAATAAACTGGACTTTTATGGGCCAGATTCCGTGTGCGAATTCCAATATCAACACATTTGAAAGATTTTTTTTTCCCATCTGAAAGGTTTGCATACAAGAAAGCAGCTCATTTCCGATGGCTAAATCCATAGGAAAGCCGTCGAAAAAGATCTTTTCCGACAGATTTGCAACGAAAATATGTCTGTCGGTTACAGCTCGTCAGAAATTCACTTCCTTCGGAAAGTCATGAAAATATTTTAACAGATAATAGTCATCGGAATAGTGTCGGAAAATTACTAACACCAAACCGATGAAACATTTTCCGACAATTTACCGACGATCATTTGTGTCGAAAGTTTACCGACAGCAAACCAATGGCCATTACTTTGGCGGTCATGTTTGTCGACAAAATTTCGGAACGTTGTCAAACATGTGCCAGTGGATTTTTAACGGAAGATATTCCTACGCATTTCAGATAGAAGATATTCTTATGGATTTCCGATAGATCTTATTCCTACGGATTTCGACGAATAGTATTCATGTGGATATTCAGACGAATTTCCAAAGGATATTGTTCCAACAGAATTGTAACCAAAAATATAAATTATTATTTATTATTTTTAAACAATTACTAGAAATTGAAAAAATATTTATTAAATTTAAAATTCAGAAAACATTAAAATTGTTTAAAAAAATACAGGTTCAAAGTACTGAGGTAATGCTGTCTTTAAAAGATCTTTTAGTCAGACAGCTCTTGACGGGTTGAGTGGTGGGCAGCCTTCAGCTCTGCAACCTCTCACGTTCTTTAACTGTTTGAGAAAGTTTGTTCATCTCGGCTTTGTAGTTTGCAGATGGGGCACAATAACTTGAAGAAGAAGGCTCCTAGCTCGGGAGTCGGAGAAATCTGCCATTCACTTTTCGAATTTCCTAAAAAATATTATAAAATTCAAAGATAAATGTTGAAATAAAAAAAAATAATGAAAAAAATTCAGCTTACACTGAGAAACAATGTCGTTGATCTCTTCTCGGGTAACTCGTTTGAGGAGGTCGATCCATCGAGAGTGAGTTATAAGAGTTCTGCCAAATTGTCTTCTTTCCTCTTTATCCAGACTTCAATCTTCCTACGAAATCCTTGGGTCTTGAATAACACCGTTTTTTGTTTGTGCTTCTTTTCCAAAACCTCAAGAAAATCCAGAAGAATCCCACTGTTTTTTTGGCCTACGAAAGTTTGTTAAGTAATATAGTAATAGGAAAAATATTAAATCTGTGATAAAATATATGCATACGATTTCCATCGCTTTTCCTTTGACGGTCTTTGCACCTTTATTGTGAATGTACATCCCAATCCCCATTTCGTTCACTCTTCTAATTCTTCGATTTTGTTGCTGAAAGCTTCTTCGTTGCTGGTTTATTCCAATACTAGCAGAATCCTTTTCAAACGTTGTCTTCAAGATATTTTGGCTTATCTTTGTTGTGAAGCCACTTCTGTTTCCA